ACAATATTGTCTGTATTCCGCCACTAAGAGTCATGTACTTTTTATGGGACACTTTAAAAACAGCATTCGATAAGAAGGCAAAAATATCCAATAAGATGCTTTAGATTTGACAGCTCTGATTAATTTATATTATATTACATCTATTATTAACAAACTCAGTTCTTTCTCTCGTTATTGCTGTTATTTGTAAATTCTAAATGAATCCACCGACACCTTTAGCCATTATTTTTTATTGTATTAAAAAAACCGTTATTAATTAATAACAATCGCGTAGGTGTGAATGAAGAGGTTAGAACTCCTTCTGCTTGTGGATAGAAAGCTCCACCTGTCGATAAATACACAACATAGCACTTAAACGCCCCCCGAACAACTGATACTACAATCTTCGACAACTTTTAACTTGTCTCTACGACTGCTTTATCTTTTCGAACGTCCCAGAATTTATTTCTGGTTTTATTACTACTGGCTAATGAGATTAAGGACGTTTCTCATATGTCTTGTATTGTTTTTATTCGATCCAATTAATTAACACAATTCTGCAGCTGAATATATCCACATTCTGTCAGTGGGGTTGAATAAGTAAGGTCTGCGATATACACTGCTGTGCAGTAAAAAAGAAATTTTATTTTTTCATCGAATATTTGTTTGAGATTATAAAATATCCATTATCAAATTACAATTATTGCTTGGATTATTTGTGATTGCATGCGATGCCTAAACATATAAAGCTATAACTATTTTGAAAATACTGCCAAAAGAAAAGCAATTTTTAATTAACTATATCTTTTTGTTATTGCGATGTCTCCTTTCGAAGGTGATTTTGGCGATCCAAATGCCAATTGTAGGTTTGAAAACTTTTTTACGAAAGATTTCAGCGGATGAGCTGTCAAACCATCTCCTCAGTTCTTTCAACCACGAGTTCTCGCATCTTTCATATGATATTTTGCCCTATACTTTACCCTACAATATGATTTAGAGTAATTCATATCTTTTCTCTCAAAACATGCCCCTGACAAGTATTATATTTTCTCTCTTTAATTATGATCAGTAATTATTTTTGTTTACTCATGCGTTGAAAAGCTTCATCGTTGGCAACTTTTTATAATATTTACCTCCAAACAAAAACTTTCATCTTGTGTCAAATCAATCAAAGACAGCATTCCAAATGAACAACAAGTAGTTTTTATAAATTCCTTGTGCAGACTGCCCCCTATCGTATATAGGTCAAATAAATCGTAGAATCCAAAATAGGATTTATATACATTTCATTTCTGTTCGCAATTCAGATATAATTTCTGCTCTAGGTCAACATCCTATTTATACAGATTGGTGTAAAAGGGCATAAAGACAAGAATCGAAGAACCACCAGCCTAGGCTGGAATGAAAAACAGATTAAACACTAACATATATTTAATGCCAGGATTAAATAGCAATTTCTGACAGCTGTCCAGTAATGTCCACTATGTTTTAGGATATTTCACCACACTTTTCACTGCAGCTAATTACACTATTAAATCTAATTAGAAGTATAATTGCTTAGTGGAATGTCGTTTTTATGTTAAAAGCGAACTACTGATAATACTGCTGGTTTGAATGAAAGTATTTAACTTACTACTACGGTTTTAGAAAACACTTATTACTATCAATTACTGATTTAATAATATTTATAAAGAATAAGGCGATGCTAAGTACTTAGTTACAAATATAAGTTCTTACTAATCGAAGCTGATATTTTGCGAGCTAGCGATTTTAGCTTAATAAGTTTGCGAGATTTTGAGACTACTTCTAAGACAGCTTTTAATCAACTGCACTACTCGTAATATCCAAATTATGTAGCGACGGTGTGTTTATCCCAAGAAGTACCGTTAAATACATTTCTTCGTTATTCCTTCTACGAAGCGCCATATTGTCATGCTTTAGAATCATTCAGCTCACAAAATTAATTTTAAAACTCCAGAATCATAGCCCCTATCCGCTTTTATAAACCAAGAATTATTAAAGAAGCCATATATATTGAAACAAGGTCAAATTGTCGCAATAAAAAAGATGCTGGCATCCGGTTACCTTCGACATGGAGACCTCTCATAAAGAAAATATCGTTCGCTTCATCCTCCAATCAAAATCCGCTGTCAGAAATGTTCGCACAAAACCACGTCACCATCGATGGTATAAATGAACCGTACGTTGTTTTCAGTAGCAATAGGATAGTGATTAGTGAAAATCCAAGGTAATATTTGTTTCAAACTCCATTACAAAGAATAAGTAATTTCTCAAGCCCCGCATTTTCCATCTAAGATAATAAAATTGTTGTTTAGTTAATTATTTATAATTAACATTTTAGATCTTTATAAATTCATTTCTATAATTATATGTATTACAATTTGTTAAAAAATATTTTTTAACACACTTAATAAAATTATATTGTAACGAAATAGCCCACCTTCAATGCGGGGTACGTGACACAATTCTTAGAAGGATAAATCTTGAATACAAACTTATAAGTAAATATATTTACATAAATTAGAACCGCTCGTTTTATATAAAAACGGTATAGTGGTGTCTGGTGTGAGATTTAAAAATAAATTCAGCAGTGATTGCTAAATAAAAAGACTTTTGAACTTTTGAAAAGTATTGTTCGTCGGGAACATCCGCGTAGTTCGGTAGTGATTTTGTAAAAGAAAAGAACATTTAAAAAGTACGTGCGTAACCAAAGATGCTGCTTGTAGATTTTCCAGTAAAACAGTTGCGTAAGTAATTAGACGAACGCGATGAAGACTACAGTGAGTCCAAGAAGATCCTCCAAGAACGACTAAAGAATGTTCTCAGATGACCCAATTTCAATCATCAGAAGAAACAGTTTTAACACAAAATGAATAAGAAATTTGAAAATGTGTCTAGAAGATTCGACGAGACGCCTCAAATAATTAAAGAAGTATCTATTAAGAACAATGAGAAATTTGAAAAAGTTTCTAGAATATTGTATAAGGTAGAAGAGAAGATTAAACAATTAAAGACATTGTTAACTAAGACGAAAGTGCTACCACCAGTTATTGCAGTAGTTTTAGATCCGGTAGTGAAAGAAGAATCACCATTCGATGGAAAGTCTTTTTTGTTCATATATCTTAGACAATTTGAAGCTATTGTGACAGCCAATCATTGGACTGACACTACTATAAGAAGTCAACTGATGAAATATGATGTTATGTAGAATATTTTTAAGTAGATTGCATAATCCAGATCTCACACTCAAACCTGTCTATAATAATTAGGGTGTTAGTTTGAAAGCAACTGAAGTCGACGGAAAGTATGAATACAAGAAATAGACTAAACAATATATTAGACAGTGGGTAGTTGACTACAATAAAATGATCTACCAAGCACTATTAATATTGTAGAAAAGAAGAAATCTGACTAAGTAATAAAAATACTAAAAACTAAAAATCAAAATTGAAAGCAGAGTATATAAATGATGTATAATCCAGTAGTTCAGTTGAACCCACAGTCAATGAGAGATTTATAAAATTAATATATAAAAGCGTTACTCAAAACCAACTGACCAACAGTGAGAGATGTTGAAATATTCAACTGTGGAGATGGTATATCTAAATTACAAAAAGGTGCGAAGAGTGTAAATAATGCCAACTATAGATCAATTGAACCTGAGCAAGCTAGTTTTGTAAATTATTGAAGAATAAAATAGTAATGTTGATCAAAGTATGAAATTAATAAATCCTTAATGGAATAATCAGTGCAGGAAGTCTAAACAGCCGAGCTGGGTCCCCTACTAGGTGAAGCTGTAATAAAGATTTAAAAATAGGTTTAAATTTAGTACAATTTAAATTAAATTGAGTATTATGACAGTGAGAGTTTCCATTTGTTTCCTTTGTAATCTTTAAATCTTCCAATAGATCCAACTCCAGATAGTTTTTCTTTCTACTAATGTCATGTAAAATGATAAACCAATATTGATGTTAATATTGTGTTTCCTGGATAATAAGTGTTGACCAAAACTTGAAGAGTTTGGTCTTTTCAAATGTTCTAAAACTCTAGTGGATAACTTTCTAATGGTTCTACCTATATAAGAGGCATCACAATCATCACATTTTAATTTGAAAATACCACTTTTATCACGTGTGTTCATCCTATCTTTAGTGTTGATTAAAAAGGAACCTAAAATGTTGTGTGACTTGGAGGAAATTTTGATGTTTTTAATTGTAGAAGTAAAAAGTTTAGATATTTTATTGGAAATGTTGCTAATATAAGTGAAGGAGAAATATCTGATATTATTTGAAGCATTAGGTTAAACAAAAACTTGTGATGAATATGCAAGCTTTTCTGAAATTTAAAGTTTGGCTCTATTTAAAAGCTTATAGATTATGTTGGGATCATAACCTTTATTGAAAGCAATTTGCTTAAAAGTATTAAGTTCTAAATAAGATTATTGGCATGGTACAGTCAGGTACCTAGTGTAGTGTATGTGTGTGTGTAGAGTAATTGTCTTGATACTTTGCAAAGTCGACGTAATTGTCTTTGCTAAGACACGCTAATTGTATCCGAACGGAGGGACCGCAGACGTTCTTCGGTCTGTTAAGACCGAACGTTCTTCTTTAGTTAAAAAAAAACGTTTTTTGGCTTATTTCAGATGCTCCTGAAGATGCTCTAGGGAGCGAAAGTACTTGGGCAAGATTAAATTAATAAAACTGTGCTGGATATCTGCCTTATATTTGATCAAAGTTTATTCTCAAATTGTTTTATTCGTTTTTGTCAGTTTTGTTTTGTCTTTCTTCTCAAGATTCTTCTAGTTGGTTATCTAGTTCTCTAAGGCATGATCTTTCAAAATAATATTGATTATTTTATTCATAAGTATTAGAATTTAAACCTATGCGATTTCTAAATAGATTAAATATTTAGTTAACCAATCAATAATCGTGAGAACCTAAAAAGATGAGTCTCTTATCAACAAAAATGTATAAATAAGTTTGATTACTAGAAATACTACTACACTAATCAAGTTTTTCTTAGATTAAAAGCGCAGTACAAACCAACAATGAAAGCAGAATGTTTAATAGTGATGATTTTGCTAATATGTGCACAAGCTTTCAATGTACCAAACAATGGTAAGATTATTAGATATAAAGTATTATACACCGATATCTACTTTAATAATTTGTAGGGTCGACACAACACTGGTTTAAGATAAATGACACAAATTATGTGATTGAACTAGCTATTACAGTAAGTGCGAAGTTTTTACTAAAATTCTACTTTTTTTGTATAATTATGTTTATTCACAATTTACATCAAAAAAAGAGTATTAAGTAAATGTTATACAGGTTTTGCGCGTGAAGGGGAGACATCCAATGATGTCTTACTTTATTCTATTTTGGTTTAGTTCTGAAGAAGGCCTTGGGCCCAGGTTCTATGTAGTCTTCTTGTGGTTGGTCCATTGTTGTATAATTCCCTTACTAGCTCATTTTCGTGGTGAATGGTATGTTCATTTTGTGACTCCGTGGCTCGATGGATTTCTTCTCTGATGAAAGGAACCTTTAAGTCATAGTGGAGTGTTTGGTTACTTACGTACCATGGCGCATCCACTATCGATCTTAGTACTTTAGACTAGAATCTTTGGATAATATTCGGCGACGTTGGCTTTGCACAGCCCTATAGGTGTAGTCCGTAGAACCAGATAGGTTTGAGCATGGCTTTGTATAGAAGAATTTTGTTTTGGATGTTAAGTTTTGATTTACGTCCAAGAAGCCAATACATTTGCCGAAATTTTAAATCGAGCTGCCTTCTTTTGGTCTGGATACGTTTCTTTCAAGTGAGACGTTGGTCAATGGTAAATGTTATTTGAGTTGATTTTTTGTTTTATTGGTGCTTATCCATCCAAGACCTTTGCAGCCTCTGAGTTCTTTTGCCTCTTATCTTTTCTTGCAAATTCAGCACAAATAGCTGGTATTTTTACTACGCATAACATGTCATAAGTATGACATCTTTCTGATTTTCACAATATTCATAAGGGTCAGATTCTTTTTCATACTTATCACTGTATCGCTGTTGTTTTTCTTCTTCTTCTTCCTTCTTGTATGTGGCTTTAAAGCCTGTAACTTCTTCAATATTAGCCTCTCAAATTGTTTAAATTATCGCACCATCTTTTTCTTGATCTGCCAATACCTTTTCGTCCATTTTTTTTAATTATCCCGTGCTATTCGTATTATCCTATCCTATGGCATTCTATTAATGTGTTCGTTTCACCCCTGTTTCCGTTTTGTTACCCACTCATTTATGTCTTCTATATTGAATGCTCTTTTTATGTTTTCGCTTCTCTCCCTATCCAATAGACTTCTCCCTGATATACGTTGGAGTATTTTCATCTCTGTTGTTTCTAGCAGTCGTCTCGTTTTAGATGTGTCAGGTCTTGTCTCCGCTGTGTATGTTAATATAGGTCTAATTGGTGCTTTATAGATTCTTGTGTTTATGTCTAGTGAAATCTAGTCGCTTTACTTGCTTTGAAGCTTTTTTGTCATACTTACTCTTCAACAATTTCGTAACTAGTTTTTTTCTGCTGATATTATCATATTGTATTTCTTTTTTACTTTTCTAAAACTTTTCTAAAAACTAATTGGTCTCCCATACATACAAACTATGCATGAAGGTAATACCAAAATGGCTTGTGAACAAACTGGATAGTTACCAACCATGTGAACAGGCTGGGTTTCGCTCCAGATACGGAATAAATGATCATCTACAAGTTATAAAAACGCTAATAGAAAAGTGTACAGAGTATAATAAGCCTATCTTTCTTATATTCGTAGATTATGGAAAGGCGTTCGATACTATAGATCATCATAAACTGCTTTTAGCATTAGCTGACTGCTGCATTGACTACCGATATATCGCCTTAATTAAAAGTATTTACGAAACTGGTACAACTTGTGTCTGTCTTTATGAAGATATCAAAAAGTTTCGAGTAGAACGTGGAATTAGACAGGGTGATACTATCTCCCCTAAATTGTATACAGCTGTTTTTGAATATATGTTCAAGCAAATGGAACGAGAGGATAATATGGGAATTTAATATAAATGAGGACGATCTGAACCACCTAAGATTTGCCGATGACATCGTTTTAATATCTGATAGAGTTGTTACGGCTACAAAAATGCTGCACACTCTCTATAAAGTATCAAAAACAATTGGTCTTAAAATTAACACCTCAAAAACAAAATTGATGACCAACCTTGTAGTCAGCAGAAAAATTCTGATTGAGAGCCATAGCATCGACCAAGTAATAGCTTACAAATATCTAGGCTATGCGATTCGCTTAGGGCGAGATAATCAGACAACTGAAATACAAAAAATGATAGGTCTCACATGGGCTGCCTTTGGTAGATTAAATAACATTTTCAAGTCTAGTATCCCAGTTTGATTAAAAAGAAAGGTTATTAACCAGTGCGTTTTACCGGTTCTTATATATGGTGCAGAAACACTGACTCTGACAAAAAGAACAATAGAAAAAATAAGAGTTACACAACGTGCTATGAAAAGATCAATATTAGGTATTACCATCAGAGATAAAGTACCAAACCTAGAAATAAGAAGAGGAACAGGAGTCACAGATGCAGTTGAAAAAATAGCCATGACTAAATGAGCTTGGGCCGGACATGTTGCCAGATTAACGGATGAGAGATGGACCAGAAAGGTTCTGGAATGGCGACCAAGGCAAGATGCATATCGAAGCAGAGGACGACCACCGACTAGATAAACGGATGATATCAAGCGCATTACCACAAACTGGATGCAAGAAGCTCAAAATAAAAATAGATGGAAATTTTTACGGGAGGCCTACGTTCAGCAGTGGACAAATATAGGCTAATTGATAATGATTAAATAACTCCTTACTCTATTGAAAATTTTTGTGAGGTTTTAGTGTCTTCGCGTACAAAAGTTTTTTTGGTGTAGGTAAAAATTTCTTATTGGGCGAAAATCTTTATCATCGATAACAGATTTCTTTAAAATTAAAATTAGTTTATGATGTTGTACTTTGTGACTTTTAATGTTTAAAAAAGAAGAATATCAGGCCAATAACGAATGAATCTAAGTAGATTGATAATAAAAAATAACATTACTTATTCAAAGCTTAATATGGCTCAGTAACACTTAAAATAAAAGAAAAAGACTTCACGAGAAAATTTCGTATAAAAATGAACTAAATTAGTAAATGAAGATCTAAAATTAGTGAGTGAACACGTTAAAAAATACCTTGCACAGGACAGAATGATATGTGAAGACAAATATTGAATTCTTTAATGCATCTGTTACAGTTTTTTTTTAAATCGTTTTGTTGTTTGTCTCTCTGGGTGTTTCTCTATCAGGCTATATGTGTGTGAATATTGATATGATTTAAGAATCCTATGAAGTCTTTCGACATTCCTTTAATATAAGTTCTTTTTAATGTTTCATTTAACCTTTTGTAGGCAAATAACATGCACATGCATATTACTGTAATTTAGAAACGTTTAAACACAAAGATCCTGTTAGTCAAATATAAAAGATAAATTTATTTTAATAAAATGTTAATATGTGTAATAAAACAAAAGTGATAAAAAATTTTCAGGCAAATTTCTGGTCTGCTATGGAGTATTGCACTTCTCATAATATGCAACTAGTGTCTATGGATACTCTAGAAGAAAATTCAGAAGTTTATGCACAAGTATCAAATATAGTGTGTAAGTTAATAATATATATATATATAATATATATATATATATATATATAAATATATATATATATATATATATATATATATAAATATATATATATATATATAATATATATATATAAAATTATATTAGAATATGGATATGTATATAACTGTATATATATATATATATATATATATATATATATAATATATTATATACAGTTGTTCTATGTCAATATTTTGTCACGATTTTGTGACTTCTTCAGGAGAAAATTGTAAATTTAGTATAATAATTATTATAATGTAAACAAATTGAATATTTTAATACTTACAACTATAAGAGTAAAAATTTAAATTTTTATAACATATCTACTTAAATGACATTTTTGATCTTAATTTATTTGGGAGTTATGGTAACTGCAATATTTTATAGAGTGAATTCCCATTGTACAATTTTTAGTGAATAAGTAAACTATTATTATGACAGTATTATCCAGATTATAAGGTGCAAAAGTAGAAAATTGAGAAAGAATCAGGAACATGGTAAATTGATCTATAAAATTTAACTGATGGTACGTAGTGAGTCATTGTAATACTGATATTAAGATATATCATATCATATATTGTTTAGGATATTGCAGTAGATATTACGTAAATGGTTGGTGTCTGTCATATAATTGATAGATTCAGGAGATTTATTAAAGTGTACCATTTTAACGAAGTCGATTTTTATAATTATTAACTTGTTCCAAGATATCAATCTAATATGATTCTGTTGTCATTAATTCTTATGACTTTGGTATCAAAAAAGGTATACTATTTTCATTTTCATACTCGACAGTGAATTGAATATTTTGATGAAGTGAATAATAAAGATCGTTTGTACTGTCTGAATATGTTTGAATGGTACACTGCATATTATGTCATCAACAAATTTATAAATAAATGCTCGTGAAAACGGCAATTTTGAGATTCCAAGGTCTAATAAATCTAAACTAAACTAAAATCAATAGAGACACTAAAACAAATGGATATAAACGGACTAGCCAATAAAATAAAAGTAACTGTAACAACATCGCTTAAGAAAATATGCTCAAACACGAAAACAGTCAAAACATCTAAACTCCAACCTAATACAATTAAACTACTCCAAGAAAGACAAAACAGAACAGATCGAACTTCGGACAGCTTCAAAAGTTTAAACAAAAACGTGAAGAAAGAAATCAGGAACGATCATAGAAACTATAATAACAATTTAATAAAAAATATAATACAAGATAACTGCAACATGAAAGTACGCAAAGCAAAAAACTCAAGCGGCACAACAAAAATCATAGAAATAAAAAATGAGAAAAACGTCACCGTCAGAGACAGAAAGGAAATAAGCGAGGCCATTGATAAATTCTACACTAAATTATATTCGGTAAATACACAACCACATTAACGACGTACTGAACGAACAATAATTAACACCGGCTCAGAAGAAATACCGGACATAACCGACTATGAAATAAGAATGGCCCTAAATCAGCTTAAAACGAACAAATGTCCAGGAGAGGATAAGATTACAGTTGAAATGTTGAAAATTGGTGGCAGAAAAATGGAACAGGTATTAAATATTTTATTTAATAAAGTAAGAGATGAAGGAAATATTCCTCAAGAATGGTACAACTTCGAGGTCATTTTACTATTCAAGAAAGGAGACAAGCAAACATCGAGAATTACCTACCAATATCCTTGCTATCACATCTGTATAAATTACTAACTAAAATTATAAACAACCGCCTAACACACAAGCTCGATTTCTATCAACCTATCGAGCAGGCTGGATTCAGAAAACATTTTAATACCATAGTCCACTCAAACCATCAGGAATTTGATTTGATTTGAGTGATCTATGGTATTAAAATGTTTTTTGAATCTGACGATACTGACGATTTGAGAAGACTCAATAGAAACTGGATAAGAGCGGCGCAAGATAGAAGGGCTTGGAAACACGAGGAAGAGGCCTATGTTCAGCAGTGGACTCTTGAAGCTGGATAATGATGATGAGACGACTTGCACACCGTAAGAACACTGATAGAAAAATGCACCGAGTATAATGTTCCAATTCATATGGCGTTCGTCGATTTCCATAAAGCATTCGATTCCATCGAATTATGGGCAGTGTTTGAATCTCTAGAAAATGCACGCATAGATTCAAGACACACTAAATAATTAAAACATATATGAAAATGTCACCATGCAAATAAAGCTGGACGAAAGCACAAAAACTAATCCCATAAGACTATAACGGAAAGTAAGACAAGGAGACACCATCTTTCCCAAACTATTTACCCTTGCTCTAGAAGATATTTTTAAGAAGCTGGAATAGAACAAAAAGGGTATCAACGTCGACGGATCATATTTAAACCACTTGACATTCGCAGATGACATAATTTTAATAGCCGATAATATCCAAGAACTAAATGATATGTTACAACAATTAAATGCAGTTTCAGGAGCGGTAGGCTTAAAAATGAACTACAGCAAAAAAAAATACTGAGCCGAGACCAGACAAAGGTAACAATACAAAATCATACCATAGAAAATGTTATGATTTGAACATTTGAACATTATGTATATCTAGGTCATGATATCAAACTAGGAAAACCAAATCAAGATGCTGAAATTAAAAGAAGAACACTACTGGCATTAGGCGCTTTCGGTAAACTAGCACATATCTTGAAAAACACCTCCATTCCTATAAACTTAAAGAAAAAGATGTATAACACATGCATACTACCAGTTTGTACCTATGGTTTGGAGACAGTAACCCTTACCAAAAAATCTGCTAAAAAATTAGAAACCACGCAAAGAGCAATGGAACGAATCATGTTTGGAATATCACGAAGAGACAAGATTAGAAACACCGAGATAAGACGTAGAACGAAGATTAGGGATATTGTGGACTGGGCAGGTCACGTAGCCCGATATAATGGCAACAGGTGGACACGGAGAATACTGGAATGGAGACCAAGGACGTCAACAAGAAGCATGGGAAGACCTCAAAAAAGATGGGTAGATGACATAAGAGCAGTAGCAGGCAAACAGTGAATTAGATTGGCGCAAGACAGAGAAAGATGGAAGCAATTGGGAGAGACCTACATTCAGGAGTGGATGGAAAATTGTTGACAAAGAGAAAGAGAGAGAGAATAAGTGGTCTAGGATAATTGTTGCTAAAATAGGGCTAATAGGACTGCCCATTGGTGTTCAAAATATTTGTTTATAGAATTTATCACAAAAACAAAAATATGTGCTGTCAAATAATTTCTTGTATGATTTCAATGAATAATTTTATTGGAATGTTAGTAAACAATGACACTACATCTAAAGAGTACAAAACATTGTTATCTGGTAGCTGAATCACATTTACAGCATTGACAAAAGAAAATGGATCTTTTAGAAATAAAAAAAAAGAAAATTTATCTGTTCCTGGTCTCCATTCGGTTAACCCATGAAGGACTGGAGTTGCCATATGGCAACACTGGTATTGACGTACGAATCTTATTATTTTGAGGTTATGTTAGTTTGTTTTGTTTCCAAGAACGTACCGGTCTGCAGAAAATAAGTGATTTGAAGATATACACCTAACAAAAACCTAATTCGTTGGTGTTTGTGAGATTTTATAGTCACCGTTTTTGATAGTTGTAAAAATTTATATAAGATTTCTGTACGTAGCTCAATTTGTCAATAACTTCTGAATAACTATTACATCTAAGTGGCTAAAGTAACAATTATGCTCTAATAGAAAGGTCATTTTCCCTCTGTGAATATTTGACAACCCTTGAAAAAAAGCGATCTTTTACAATATTTTGTTTTTATTCATCGCGTTGCCATATGGCAACGCTACTATCTACAGGTATCTTGTTTTTTTCAGGCGGGGTTTCTCTTTACAAGAAGCTTTGAACATGGTTTACGAAGATGACGTCAACGTTAGAAATATTTATGTTGAGCCCCCAAATATTGGAGACCTCATTGATGAAGATTCTGGCGAGGAGGATGGGGGAGGATTTATCGACAATCTGTCTAGAAAACAGCTGGAAGCAAATGTTGAGGTGCAAACTTATGGCGAAGAAGCAGACAAGGAGGATGACGATATCGAAGAAGATGCAGTTCAAGCGATGGATATTTCCCAGGAAAGCGGCGGAAGTTTCATCCCACAAACTACCTCTCAAGTGAAGAAAATTGAATACGAGTCCCTAAATTGGATAACGGGTGATTTGGTCGACAATGCCGCTAGTTTCCCAGAATATAGCTACGAACCATTCAATACGTTGACACCTGTCGAGATGTTCGAATTATTTTTCGACGAGGATATAATTAGTTACATTCTCAACCAATGCACGAGTTATGCACTACAGAAGAACTTTCCCGGCCCCAAAATTTCCGCAGGAGAAATGAGGTGTTTCTTTGCCATTTTGATTCTATCGGGGTATAATTGGCTCCCGGGAAAAAAATTTTACTGGGATATGAAAGGCGATATGGGTAATGCAATGGTCATGAACGCTATGCGAAGAGATCGGTTCCTTACAATTTGGCGTTTTTTCCACCTTGCAAATAATGAAGCCATCGATGAAAGGGACAAATATTACAAGATCAGACCCTTACCTAACTATTTACAGAAAAAATATAAAGAATATTACGTCCCTGAAGGCGAATTAAATTACGACGAATCTATGGTGAAATACTTTGGACGCCACTCATGTAAACAGTTCATAAAAGGAAAGCCGATTCGTTTCGGATACAAAGTTTGGTGCCTTAACACTAAAAGTGGGTATCTTGTAAGCTTCAACATGTACCAAGGAACCGATCCCAAAGCAAATAATCATTATTATAAAGTTTTTGCAGCATGTGCGGCTCCATTCGTCACCATGCTCGATGAACTGCCCAATGATAAATCAAGATTACCCTACAAATTTTTCTGCGACAATTTATTTACGAGCCTCCACCTTTTGAAACATATAAAGGATCGTGGCTATAGCCTTACCGGAACAATACGGGAAAATCGCATTCCCAAAAACTGCCCTATAGAATCGAAAGCTAATATGCAGAAACGCAAAAGGGGTGATGTAGAGTCGATTCTCGAGAGAGAAACTGGTATTATAGTTGTAAGATGGTTGGATAACAGCGTCGTAAGTGTAGCGTCAACATGTTATGGGGTGGAACCACAATCGCTCGTGAAAAGATATTCACAAGCTGAAAAGAAAATCATCCAGGTTCAAAGTCCATGCCTGATTGGTAAATATAATAATGCAATGGGGGGCACCGACCTAATGGACGAAAATATAAACCCCTTTAGAATAGGAATGACGACAAAAAAATGATCGTACTGGAGCTTGATTACCTGGAGGCTAGATGCGACTATACAAAATGCGTGGGTGCTACATAAAAAATCCGGCAACAAGTTGACACAGTTAGAGTTTAGGCGTGAAATTGTGCAAGCCTATCTGACCAAATACGGAGTGCCTGCAAAACAAGGTGGCCGAACGTCTAGTTCACTCTCAAGTCGTTCCTTTCATAGAGTATCTGATGATATTAGATACGATGTAGTTGGGCATTTACTGGAACCGGTACCAAATAAAAAGAAAATTAGGTGTGCAGGTGAAGAATGCAGGTCGATCATGAGAACAAGATACGCCAAATGTGAAGTAGGTTTGTGCACAAAGTGTAATGTTAAATTTCATACACAGCTATAGAAAGTTTTTTGCCGATTATCTCTCAATTTCATAGAATATTTTTTACTTTTATTTCATTCGGTTAGTGTAGCCATAGGAACCTAGCGTTGCCATTTGGCAACAGGCAATATTTTTAGGTTTTAGTATATTTAATAATTATTTTTGTCTTTTTCTAAGTAAGTTTTGTCCATTCATAAGAGTTATTTGTATTATTTATGTAAAATAAAGATTTTCGAAAACTTCGTCCTTCATGGGTTAACTTCCTTATCCATCTTTCATCCATTATCATTGTCACGTGGCTAACTCATCTTTGTTACTACCGTCAAGCTCTCTCCACAACATTTGTGACGTTAGTTCCAGATTGTTTTTAATTTTTTATAATTGTATGTTATAGTAAACAATTCCTTGAATTTTTGGTCTGCTGGTAATATCCTAGGAGACGATAAATCAATCTGGATATGGATGACAACAGGAAAAGTAATTAGCATTAACAGTTGGAGAGCTAGGGAACCTAATACTCAAAGACTAACAGATTTATGCTTATCTTTATTATATCCAAAGGATGAAAATGGCTGGTGGACAGCTCACCCGTGCACAACGAGAGATGCATTTATTTGTAAACAATAGATTATACATTTTAAATTATGTAGATATTTGATGTAATATAACGCATGCATAAAAACACTATTTTTGTAGAAATGTATATGTAAATATAAACTTCTCGTGTTATTATATTAATCGCCCCACTCGTCCAAAACAGCTGAACCGATTTTTATGAAATTTTATTGTATTCTGTACTAAAAGTGTATTCAGTGGGCTTCACAATAGGGTTTAATCTATTTTTCATACTACTAAGGGGTAAGATTGGTTCACCCCAAACATTTATTAAAAATAATATATTTTTATGCTTTTATGATGTGGCATTAAAAAATACATGCAGCTCTTAATTTTTAACCCTCTATTATAATCTCATTTTTTTAATCGCCATATTGGTGGCACAGAGTTAGTTGCCATACTCCTTCGAAATGGCTAGACCAATTTTTATGAAATTTTACATATGTATTCGGTAGGTTTAAGAATAATAGGTCATACTCTATTTTTCATACCCCTAATGGGTAAGAGTGATCCACCGCAACTATTCTCTTATTTTTTAAACATTTTTTTAATGTTTTCTAATGTGGCATTAACAAATACATACAGCCCTTAATTTTTACTCTTATGATACTAACCCCAATTTTTAATTGTTATAATAGTGTCAAGATGTTTAGTTGCTATGCTCATTCGAAATCGCTTAACCGATTTTTATGAAATTTTATATGTATATTCGGTAGATCTGAGAATGGGTCGTAATCTATTTTTCATTTCCCTGGGGTAAGGGTGGTTAAACCTAAACGTTTTTTTCTATTTTTTGTACAAAATATTTTATTATTTCTTTACGATGTGGCATTAAAAATATCCATACAGCACTTAATTTTCATCATTTTATTATTAACCCCTATTTGGTAATTGCCATATTAGTGTCACAGAGTTACTTGCCATATTCCTCCAAAACCGTTTCCGTTTCATAAATTTTTATGAAATTTTATATGTATACTTAGTGGTCTGAATATCAGTCGTAATCTATGTTTCACACCCCTTACTAAAGGGTAAGAGTGCTCCATCCAAAACATTTTTTTTGTATTTTGGACAAATTTTTTTTTCTATTTTTTATAATATTTACCTTACGATCAACAACCATACCTTTAATAGCCGTATTATTATCACATAGTTCTCTGAAACGGTTTGACCAATTTTTATGAAATTTTGTATGTATATTCGGTAGGTTTGAGAAACGGACATATTATATTTTTCATAACCGTAAGTTATAAGAGCGTTTCACCTCAAACTTTGTTTTTTATTTTTTGGATAAAATTTTACCATTGAAACTGTAAATTGTGCAACGGGCAATTGTTTTATTTATAATAAAACTTTTCTTTTTTTTATAATAAAAGTGTTTTTTTTGTTTTGTTTTCTGTTTTTTGGACTTTCTAATTTTTTGGATACCTTATTCAATTCAAAGATGGTACGAAGTTCGCCGCGTCAGCTAGTAATATATTATAAATAAGGGGGTTATACAGAATTAACGCTGGAATATAAACAAAAATACAACCTGGTGTCAGACTGGCGTAATCCATACCAATGTTACATTGTGTCATACGAATATGAATTCCCTTTTATGATTTATGATTAGACATGTCCTGCCTAAGAGTTTGCCCCAGATCTCCTTTAGGGACTTCTGTCTTATTGACTGAACACGAAACTATCTCTAGAGGAACTTTATCATATGCTTTCTTAAGATCAATAATTGCATCTGTTTTTGATCTGAACTTATGTCCAAACTGATTATCGGATATTTCGCTTTTCTCTACGTATCTATCTATCAGTTATTCTCTTCCATAGTTTCATTAAGTGACTAGCAACCAAACTCAAGTCCAAAAAGAGTGGCCCAAAGAAGAATGAGGTGGTCGTTACTTGGGCTAATTCTCAAAAACAGGCTCAGAAATGAAGAAATAAGAAGAATGGTAAGCAGATGTGATAGATATCATAGAGCGCATAGCATGGCTGAAGTAGAACTTAACAAGCCATCTGACCAGAATAAATGACGAGCGAAATGACATATGTGACAGATTAATAGCTAGAGTTAGAACGAGGGACAAGAGCCGAATAAATATCATTAAAAAATTTGATAACATCGACGTTCAGTATCTACTTCCTCTTTATTATCATAAATGATGGTGCACACAACAAATAAACTAAAGGTGACATAAATGCTGACGATGTAGTGTTACGAAATACTAAAAGAAACATGGATAGCTGGTAGATACTCCTTTACGATTCCGGCAGACGACAGATATACTTTAGAAATAGCAAACCTCATGGTTTTGTACCTAAATACCTTTCTTCCCGGAAAACTGTCAGCCACAAAATTTCTATTTACATCTTCTTTCCCTCCTTATCCTACCCAACAAGAATATGGAGAGAACCAGATGCAAAAAATCTGTAAGTTAAACCTAATATGAGCTAATATCAGCCTTGTTCCTGTATGCGGGGCTCTACAGGAATCGACCAACGATCCTCAGCTACTCGTGAGAATAAATATGAATACTTCTTTTTCTTCTTCTGGTTCCTATCCGTTTCGGATGATGGAAATCATATTGGCACTTGCTCGCTGCGGCCCGAAACAGCTCCGTTGAGGTTTTCTTAAACCATGTTCTTAAATTCCGCAGTCATGATATTCTCATTCTACCAGGTCCTCGCTTACCTTTGACTTTACCTTGCAATATAGACTGTAACAGGGAGTAACAGTGTTGATTTCTCATAACGTGTCCCAGATATTGCAATTTTATGCGTTTGATCGTAAACACAATCTCTGGTTCCTTCTTCATTTTTCCTAGAACTTCCTTGTTCGTGATCTTTGCTGTCCATAATATTCTCAGCATTTTTCTATAAAGCCACATCTCAAATGCTTCAAATTTTTTAATAGTCGTCTCTGTAAGCGTCCATGCCTCCGCCCCATACAACAAAACAGAGAAAACATAGCATCTCAAATGTCTAATTTTTGTATCTAGGGATATGTTGTGACTGTTGAAGATGGCGCTCATTTTGTTAAAGAATGTTCTTGATTTTCCGATACTGCACTTTATTTCCTGTACATTGCTCCACTGTTCGTTACCCTACTCAAAGTGCGTCAAAAAGATAAACCTCAACATTGCCACATAGGGGAATACGCTGTATCTAGGGACGATAGTACCTAGGGACAGGTTAAATTAACACCAAACAAAATATCAGACAAACTTATCGGCAACAGAGATTGTGTTTACGATCAAACGCATAAAATTGCAATATCTGGGACACGTTATGAGAAATCAGCACCGTTACTCCCTGCTACAGTCTATATTGCAAGGTAAAGTCAAAGGTAAGCGAGGACCCGGTAGAAGGAGAATATCATGGCTGCGGAATTTCAGAACATGGTTTAAGAAAACCTGAACGGAGCTGTTTCGAGCCGCAGCGAGCAAGGTTATGATTGCCAATATGAATTCCAACATCCGAAATGGATAGGAACCAGAAGAAAAAGAAGATCGGCAACAGTGTCTCTCTCTAGGATATTTAGTTTCGTGAAGTGTTAACAAAAGCTGTGGCCATTTTGTAATTTTTGACGTCCAAAGTAAGTATTTTTACCGACTATTTCGTCTTATTGCAAATTATCAATTTGACTGTAGTAAATAATCATATTAGGGTGATATTAATGGTAATTTAGACTACCTAATCCACTAATGAAACCGTTGTATTTGTTGTGGTTAACGACTTATTCGACTGCTTTTATACGCATGGGTACTGAGAAAAATATTCAAAAGCAAACTCGACACGTTCAAAAGGAAAGTACTGAGGAGAGTACTAGGAAAGTACCTTTGAGGGAAAACAGAATCTTCAGAAGTGAATACAACAACGAGCTTTATCTACTTTATTAGAAAGCACCACTGTGAGACTTATTTGAATACAAAGATTGCAATGGGCTGGGCATGTGATAAGAATGGGAGAGGATAGGCTGCCAAAAAGAGCTCTGAACAAGACCTTTTAGGAGTCCGTGTATAGAGAAGATCAGCCACGGACAAGCAAGGGTGGAGGCAACAAATAACAACAAATAACGGAAGCCAAGGTTCAATTTGGGCTGTAGTGTCGTATAAGAAGAAGAAGAGAAAAGATACAGTTATGTCTTTATTTAAACAAGTCGAACCTTTAATAAAGCTTCGTAATAAAAAGGTAAGTAATATGATTAAGATATATTAAAATTTGTCATCAGATTAACATTGGTGGATAAAAAATTATTAAACAATTAAATCAACAAACACTAATGTTCTAATATATATATATATATATAGAGAAAATACTAATCAGCATATATTTTTAGGTGGGAAACTGTTATTTTTAACATTAATATTTTTTGCTTCTGGAAAAATGCAAATATCACTAGCTGTGCAAAAATGCAAAAAATATATCAAACAAATGATGAAATTAGTCCAAGTAAAGAATAGGTTTAAGTTATTCTATGATTTCTGCGATACAAAGCTGCAGTTATTTGTACTTTAATACGAATTGAATCTTTTGGAGGTGCAAATGCAGAAATATATCGTAAGAACTTTTGCATTAAATGACTAAAAACTCAGTGACTAGTTTAAAAATTAGAAATATTGTTGCAAAAAGGCTGGATTTTATACATGATTAAATAACATTTAATAATAGTGGCATACAAAGATTTGAAGCCAAAAACTTTGTTAGGTTTGTACTATTTTAGTTGGTCAGTGTGGTTACAGATTGATATCATATTTGGTGAAACAGCTAGACAAGATGCTAGAAGAAATGCGGATAATCTTTATATTGAAGCTTCCATACGAACTAGAACTGTTGTGAAAAGGCAATACAGGGTATCGAAATGAGAATTCCCAATTTTTAAAAATCGAATGAGATTAAATTTGAAAGTGACTAAAAATGTAATAATAGCAACAACAATATTTCATAACATCAACATAGAAAATGGAGTTTTGTTTCCTGTAAATCGTAATCTAAATCCACAAGAAAACCATTTAAATAAGGTTATAAAAAGGAAACAAAAAGAAGACAACTTTCCTCAATTTCAACGTGAAATTGAGTAAACATTTTTGTGAATTATGCGTTAAAAAACATTTTGGAGAACTATATTCTACGTTTTTAAAAAATATTTTTTAGTAGGTTTAAAGTCAATTGAGGTAGATCAAGTCTATTTTGTTTCTGAGGTAATTTACAATGTATAAGTGCTGCACTTAATTTCACTTTTGTCAAGATATTTTTAATCGGATATTATTATGCGTATATTCCAGTAAATGCCGGTTTAGAACGTCCTTCTCCGTTGTCCGACACCTAACTTGCATCCTCTTCTATCGTGGCAATCTTCCGTTGATAGATTTCCTTCGCTCATTGACTTTTTTATGTTTTGCTGCCACTCTAGTTTGGGTCTTTCTCGCTTTCTATTGCCTATTGAGGTCCAGTTCAGTATTTTTTTTGGCCATATAGTATTTTGCATTCGCTATACGTGTTCGTACCAGGTAAGTTGTTTCTTTTCGATATCCTGAATTATCGTACCTTCTATTCCCATTCGTTGTTTTATATGGTCATTCCTCATTCTTTCTCTTCGTGAGACTCGCATAGATCTTCTTATCGCGTCCATTTCGACTGCCTCTACCTTCTTTTTTGTCTGTCTGGAATTCTCCATGTCTCATACTCCATACAATAGGCTGCTCTTAACCATTGTCTCGTATATATTAAATTTTCTCCTTTTTGTTATCTCCTTACTCCACAAGATGCCATTCAGACATCCTATTATCTTTTTAGCTGTAACTATTCGTTTTTCTATCTCTTTCACATCTGTTCCGGTATTGTCGAATGTGATACCTAAATATTCATATTCTTGACATTGCAGAATTTCTTGACCGTTGTCCAACTCCAAATTTTCACTCTGAGAGCCTACACATAGATATTTCGTTTTATTTACATTAACTGTCAAGCCCCATTCCTCATACTCTTTTATCAGCTTTCTAATCATATATTGCATGTCGTCTTTGTCATTGGCCACTATGACCTGATCATCTGCAAAGTGAAGAGTAAACAGGTATCTGTCATCTATCTCTATACCCATTCCGTGTATTTTCGTTTTCCAGTTCTTAAGTGCCGCTGCTACATATATTTTGAATAGTGTAGGAGAGATAGGACATCCCTGACGTGTACAGTTTAAAATTTATTTAATATAAACGACATTAAAAGACAACATTTTCTGTACAGTATATTTGTTATAAATTTTCGTGAGCATATTTTTGTTTTAATTATAATATAAATAATATAATAACTTAAAATATTTCTATTCTCCTTCTTAGGTACCTGTCCGTTCCGAACGTTGGGGATAATTCTGGCTATGATGGCTTTGTTGGTTGCTATACGAAATAGCTGTGTTAAAGTCTTTCTATACCATGTTTTTAGGTTAGCGAGCCAGGATATTCTTCTTCCTCCTGGGGCCATTTTACCTTGCAAATTGCATTGTAGTAGCTCATATCTGCCTTGATTTCTTATTACATGTACCAAGTACTACAGCTTACGACCCTTTACGATGTTGACAACATTCGCGGTTGTGTGTATCTTCAAAATTCTTTTGTATAACCATAGCTCAAAAGGCCGAAGTTTTGATAGAGTTGTCGCCTTCAATGTCCACGTTTTTACTCCGTACAGAAGCACTGAGTACACGTGATATTTAAGTAGCCTTATTTTTCTTTCTAGGGTGGGGTCATTGCTCTTAAACACAGAGATCATAGTCAAGAATGTACTTTTTGGTTTTTCGATGCGTCATTTAATCTCTTGTGCATTGTCTCACGACGCACTCATTATAGTTCCCAAGTAATTGTATTGTGAGACACATTCAATTCTCATTTGGTTCACATGCAGATTTGCTCCAGCTATGTTTTCCTTGCTGATGATCATTAGCTTGGTTTTGCTGGTGTTTATATCCAGTCCATATGTTTTACTTGTTTCCGTTATTTTGTACATTAAGTTTTGCAGCCCATCTATGGTATTGGAAAACACTATTTTATCATCTGCATACCGCAGATTATTGAGATTGACTCCATTTATTGAGATGCCTTCATAAATATCTTTTAGAGCCTCTTCAAAAATGTGCTCCGAATGCAGATTGAATATCAGTGGTAAAATTATGCACCCATGTCTAACTCCTCTTAAGATTTTGACCTGATTTGTATATTCTCCATCTCTTCGAAGCACCGCTGATTGATTCCAATACAGGTTAGCTATTATTATTAAGTTTTTTCCGTCAATTTCTGTCCTCTTCAGCACTTTCATCATTTGTTCATGCCTGACTCTATCAAAAGCCTTCTTGTAGTCAATCAGGCATGCAAAAACATTATAGCTGACATCTTTACATATCTGAAACAATACCTGCACGCTAAATAAACCTTTCCTCGTACCAACGGCGTTCACAAATCCAAACTGATTGGACGCGATTTGTTCCTCGCATTTCCGGTAAATTCTTTTGTAGATGACTTTTAAAAACAGCTTTAGCAGATGGCTCATTAATAATCTTCACAAACTATTGCTCCTGGTTTTTTGGGAAATGATATGAACTCCAATTTGAGCCACTATACTGGTATTTTTCCTGCCTTTTATATTTCATTATATGTTTCAGTTATTAGTTTTATTTGTTCTGCATCTTTAACAATAGCTTCAACAATTCTGCAAGAATTTTGTCAAGTCCCAGTGCCTGTCTATCCTTTATTTGTCTGACGTCTGCCGTTCTTTCTTCTAGTACGATTTCAGGGCCTGAATTTTCTTCAACGGTGGGCTCTTGTGTTGTTCTAAGGTGATGGAAAAGTTTCTGTAAGTATTCTTCCCATACTTTCTTTTTATCTTCTTTGGTTATGGCAAGATTGCCTTCATCGTCGTGTTATTTTTCTGCTGTTGCATTTTCGGAACTTTTCAGCTATTTCCTTCACCTTTCGATGAACATTGAAGTTATATATCAACTTTAGTAGAGTCGGTTCGCTATTCCCAGTCCGAACTGCCTAGAGAACTTAGTAATTATTTTTTTGCGATGTTAGTTACTTTTTGACAGACTAGAAGTGGCTGGAAATTACTATACAGCCAAGCACACGTGCTCATATCCAATATTAATGTAAACAAACGTAAATAAAAAAGATCTTTACGAATTATTGACAATCAATATTCATTTATTTACACCATATAGTGATAATAAGAAATAATAAAATTATAAGCGTCATCAATATACAAATACTTACTGGAATATGTTAAATTATACCAACTGAAATATATTTTTTAAATATGTACTACCCAAAATTTTATGGGTTTAATATACACTTCCATTATTTATGATAACTCTTCCTTTCCAATAAAAGATGTCTGTAATAAAAGTTTATTTAAGCTGTTAATACTGTGTGATAGGAACTTTTGTGTTGTAGGTTTCTAGCTATGAATCTGTCAAAATTTGCCCGAGCTGAGCGAATAGACCTTACTCCTCTATTTCTTGACATTGTTCTGTTTTTTGTTTTTCTTTGGCTTCTCTTAATAATATATTAACTCAAATTATTTCTATAATTTATTTTATCATGATAAATTATTACACTAATAACAAAAACTTTGGATACATGTAATGCGAATAATGTTAACTTAACAATCTCTTGTTTCACAAATAACTGCTATTTCATTATTACAATTTTCATCATTCCACCAGCCGTGTGAATAATTTTTATAGTATAAAGAGATACATTTTTCGTCTCCTTCGTTATTGGGTTCTCCAGTTCCCCAGTCAAATACATTAATTGGTCTTCCCGTTGACATCCAGACCCAGTCACGTTCGTTTGCCTGTCTGCTACCGGCTGACCAAAATTCAGCATAACTGGATACTACAATAAAAGGTTATAGTGACACATCATTAGAAAAATGATAATAAAGAGCAAGTTCACAACAACAAAGATTGCTATATAAATGAAAAATATCTTTATTTTTTATAAAATTGCTGTAAATTCAGTTTTTGTATGGCTGCATATTATGCACCAAAAAGCACAAATTGAATGGAAGATCGTTTACAGTAGATATTATCTAACAAATTCATATTAACTATCAAAAACATCTACCAAAACAACAAAATGAAAGTCAGAATAGATTGACAACTTACAGAACATATAGAAATAGGCAGCGGAATAAGACAAGGGGATTTATTTAGCCCCATGCTCTTCAATTCAATTTGATCATGGATGCAATCATGCAAGCGTTAACAAAGGAAGAGGATAAAGAATGGGAAACAAAGACATCTAAATACTCTGTTACGCAGACAATGAAATATATAAAATAAAAGTTTCAATTGTATTGCTTAATATTTCTTCTAAATATAACCTTCTAACAATTTTAACTGTACTAATGCCCAAGTATCAATTTTCAAGTTTTAAACAAATAAAGGAGAGCTTAAGGAAAGTCAAAGAAGATAATGCAGAAACTCTAACTATTGACCAAAAATGGGGAAAAATTCAACATGCCCTTGTGTCAGTTGGAAAAGAAACCCTCAAACCACTTAAAGAAAAAACAAAACCTTGGATGACAGTAGAAATTCTTGAACTCATGGAAGAACGAAAAAAATATAAAGCAAAAGACCTACATAAATACAAAGAAATTCAGAGAAACATCAAAAAGAAAATTCGAGAGGCAAAAGAGAGGTGGCTCTCCGATAGATGCAAGGAAATAGAAGATCTGGATAAAAAGTACGATAGCTTTAATTTACACAAAAAAATCAAAGAAATGACAGGTTCTAGAAAGCGTACAAAAACGAATATCCGTAAAAATGATAAAGGGGATATTATTACTGATATGAAGGAGAGATTATGTCACTGGACCAATTACATTCAACAACTATTTAATGATGAAAGAGAAGAACTGTCATTAGAAATCACCGAGGATACTGGACCACCAATATTAAGAGAAGAAGTCATCTATGCCATCAAAAACACAAAAGAGGGTAAAGCCACTGGACCAGATGAGGTACCCATCGAATTATTAAAACTCATCGATGAAGATGTTATTGATGTAATGGTTGAACTCTTTAATCTAATACATCAGACTGCCACAATCCTCAGACAATGGCTGCAATCAAAATTTGTAGCAATTCCCAAAAAAACAAGTTCACCAACTTGCTCAGACCACAGAACAATAGCTTTAATGAGTCACACACTTAAAACATTTTTGAAAATAATTCACAGCAGAATTGTTAAAACTCTTGAATATGAGATTAGTGACACACAATTTGGCTTTAGAAATGGTATGAGTACAAGAGATGCTTTGTTCGGCTTGAATGTGTTGGCTCAGAGATGCATGGACATGAATCAGGATATGTACTTATGTTTTGTAGACTTTGAAAAGCGGTTGTCTACAGTAAAGCGGTATTTCAAGAAGCGCTCTCAGACTCAATAGAAGGTATATCTATCAATGGAGAAGTTTTGAATAACTTACGTTTTACAGACAATACAGTAATAATTACGGATAACAACAATGATTTACAGAACGTAATGCAACGCCTTAATGAACGCTGTCATGAGTACGGACTGAAGATAAATTTAAAGAAAACTAAATGCATGATCATGACTAAATCTGCACATGCAAATATCCAATTGACTATTGAAGATACTGCAATTGAGAGTGTTAATAACTATAAATATTTAGGAACATGGATAACATCAGATGTAGACCAAACCAAAGAAATTAAGACACGTATTGAAATAGCACGTACATCATTTATTAAACTTAAAAAGTTTCCTTGTTGTCGGGATATAAGGTTAGAACTACGCCTGAGAATGCTTCGATGTTACGTGTTCTCTACTCTTCTTTATGGTCGGGAAGCTTGGACACTAAAACAAGTTCATCTGAATAAGTTGGCCGCCTTTGAATTTTGGTGTTACAGAAGAATCCTACGAATATCATGGATTCAAAGAATGTCAAACATGGAAGTAACTAGAAAGATAGGAAATGAGGCGGAAATAATATTAACTATTAAAAGTCGAAAACTTGAGTACTTGGGACATGTGATAAGAGAGCAAAAATACGCATTATTACAACTTATTATGCAGGGCAAAATCCGAGGAAAGCGAAATATGGGAAGACGAAGAATATCTTGGCTTAAGAACTTGAGGGAATGGTTTGAATGCAGTAGTGCAGAACTTTTTAGAGCGGCAGTCAACAGAGTCCGCATAGCCATGATGATTTCCAACCTTCGATAAAAGATGGAACTTAAAGAAGAAGAACTAACTTGTGCATTGTGCATTGCTCTAATTTTGAGTTGTCTGGAAATTTTTTTGTGAGTAGTTATAATAATTGTAGTATTTTTTGTTGTTTGTTTTTTTGAAACTGTCTATTTGTGGATAAAGAAAATGTTTAGATCATGGGAAAAATCACCTAGTTGTTCGTGCATGGAAGCAAGAAAACTCAAGTATATACTAGTAGAGAAAGTGTAGTAGTCAACAATCTTTTAACTGTAAGTAATACAAAAAACAATGACTCTGAGACTGCAACTATAACCGTATTCTACCATGCGCGACATCGTGAAAAGTGGTGTTAAAAAGAGAAAAACAAGATCGGATGCTGGAAAATCTAAACAAATTAATATCGTCACTGCTAAGTGTTTAAGGAATTTGGTTTACGAGGAATACAAAAAATACCAACAATTGATATTAAATACACCAAGCTTGTTGCGATGGGAAGAAGTTGCCCTAAAACCACACATAAGTGTTGTTTACCGATCTCAACATTCTCAAAAAGTTAAGGTCTGGACTAGCATTTTAGGAGACCACATAATAGGTCCATTTTTTATTGAGAGCAACTTTAATAGTAGAGTATACCTCGATTTGTTACAGAATCATATTCTTCCCGATATATCAGGAATTATCCTGATGTAAATCTGGAGAATTTTTGGTCCCATCAAGATGGCTGTTCATTTCACAATGCTCGAATAATTAGAGAGTACTTAAACAATACTTTCCCGAATCGAGTTATCAGTGGAACGGGCGATATTAATTGGCCTGTGCGACCTCCAGATCTTACACCCATAGACTTCTTTTTTTTTGGAGACATTTAAAAAGCATCATTTACGATCGTCAGTTAAGACATAACAGGTCTTACTGAAACGAAAAAGGAAAGCAGGAGTATATATTTATAAATTAATAGAAATAAATCACAGAGCAAAGCGGACATTCTATGCTGATTAAAAATAAGATATCAAAGACTGGGATGCTGTAAACATAGTAAACGATTGTGAAATTACTTACAAGTGCTCTTTAATTGTTGTAATAATGCATCATTTTCTTCTTTACTTTCAAGAGCTACCAATTGCATCTTATGATAATTACAATAGTGTAGAGCTGTCAGATAATTTCCCTAAAATAAATAAATTAATAAATATAAAAAAAACTATAACCAAGTATTTCGGATATTAGAACGTAAAATCGCAATATTTGTACTCCAATTGGTTAATTATATGTAGTAATCTTTCAGTAGTATTTTATATAGACCCACGGAAAATTTAATATTGACAATAGTTTTTTTACTGCAATAATTATTAGAAAAATACAGTTAAAATAATCAATATGTTACCTTAAAGCTTTCTTCTACAAAATACTCCTTGCCTTCGATTTTAAACCAATGTTGGGAGGAACCTTAAAAAATAAAATTCTAATGTTTTTATATAAAATGATAAATTTAACAATTTACTCACTATTTCTTGAAACATAGTTAAAAGCATGTATATTACATACTAAAAAACCAAGTAGTATATAAAATGAGAACATTTTTAATTCCTTGTAAAAACAATAATAATATATGTGATTAATATCTGTTTTTGGACAATATTTTTTTAATGTGTCAAAAGATAAATATCTGCCCTTTAGATATAAAATTTTAATTACAATATTCAAATGTTACTAAGCTTAATATCTTATCAGGATTTCAGGCGAACAAATTTATTAAAAACAAAGTTCTTGAAGTATTGGAATTTGATTTGATGTTATTTTCGTTTATTCGATGATAAGTTTTTAATTTTTTGTTCAATAATGATAGAATGATAGAGTATATTGGTAATAATAATACAAAATTATGTTTTTAAGTCAAAAGTAAATATAAATTTAAGTAAATATAAATAAAGAAGTCAAGAGTCAAATACATACAGGGAAATATAAAACAAACTATGTAAGTGTATTAACAAAAATAACAGACAGACAACAATCACAGTCACCACAGTTTTAATTAAAAGAAAAATATTTCTCAAATAAAAAAGGCTTAGAATAGAAGTTATCTCTTAATTTTTCCTTTAAATTAATAAAAATTAAGAGCTTTATTCCGACTATCACTATAATTATTATAAAACGTAATGGCTAAATACCTTCAACCATTTATTTTAAGTTTTCAGTTTTCTCTTTTAAAACAGCAATATCTAACTTAGGCTTTATATCTCAAGTCAAAACACTTAAACAGTACATACATTTTTAATTTTAACCAATAAATAACCTTTTTTGGAAAGAAGAGATCATGGTAGTGACTCTAGCAAATAACCAAAAGACAGGTGAAGTTAACCATCTTGCTACAGTAAGCCAGTAAGCCAGTAAGCCATCTTGCTACAACCTGTGTGTCCATGACTTGTGTAACAACAAAGCAATGGTGTTTCTTTGGGACAAAACTAAAGGAAAGCAAGACTCTGTAGAAATTTCGTCATGCATTCTTGCATACATCACCCATCATTTAACCTTTAAGAAGTGAACATAACTCTTAACTTAATCATATGGTCAGATCGTTGCCAGGGCAGAATAAGAACTACAAAATGGTAGCTGTTATGTAACATTTTGTTGTAAATAAATTTTTCACTACGATAGAATAGAAATTCTTGATAACAGGCCACAGCTTCTTACCCTGTGACAGAGTGCCCTGATTGAGCGTCATAAGAAATCTGCATTGATTTATGTTTCTTTTCAGTGGGTAGACGTAATTACAGCTGCTTCAAAAAAGTTTTCTGTCTATTCAATGTGTACTAAAAATTTTAAGGACTTTAGTATTATTGAAAACTCTGTGAGTACAGTAAACTTTCGAATACCTCATTTTGTGTTGTTTAATTGACACATGATGATCCAACTTCATGGTGAGCCAGAACTTCTCACGGCATCCTTCAGCCATGGAAAGCTCACTGCCTTGCAAGATAAGTAGCAAGAAGGAACCTAAATCTCCCTCCAGTAAAAGTCGTAACATTTCGCAAACTTTATGAAGAACAATTTCCAATAAAAAGGTAAAAAAGAAAAATCTCATGTTAATGATGCCCAATGTGCCTTAGATTTTCATAAAATTTTATGAAAATATATCTGTTTATAGCAAGGCCTAGGGAAGTACTTAAAAGGAAGTTGTTTTTGTATTGATATATTCTATTTTACTTTAACTTTTCAAATTGTATTATTTTCATTGTTTCCTGGGTGAAGAACGAAACTCCACAATACTAGAACGTCTCAGCAAGACTACTGAGATCATAAAAAGCATCAAGCAGAGAAAGCTGGAGTATTTCGGACATGTAATGAGAGGTCCCAAATATCGGTTGCTACAAAATATCATACAAGGAAAAATAGCAGGCAAACGCAGTCCAGGACGAAGAAGAACCTCATGGTTGAAGAACTTGCGAGATTGGTATGGTGATGATACAAGCATGCTATTTAGGGTGGCAGTGAATAAGATTAAAATAGCTATGATGGTAACCAAGGTTCTGAAAGGACATGGTACATGAAGAAGAAGAATTATTTTCTTATGTTTGATAGGTATTATTTTGTATAATGATGTGTATTTTTTTCCGCACAGTAGCATTATCGTTTAGTTAAAAAACTCAATCATTATTTTATTTTACAATTTATAAATAATTTTAAGGACGGATCTTTTAAGAAGACAGAAGCGACGATAAAGAACAATATATATAGGAACCTGGAACGTACTAAGCCTGGAGTCATCAGGTTGTCAAAGAACTTGAATCTAGAAACATGGACATAACTGCTTTACAAGAGATTAGGATGGACTGGAGAAGGTACACTTAAAGCTAATAAATCGGTAGTATTTTTCAGCGGAAGCGAACGGGAACATCAATTCGGCACTGGTTTTATAATTAGGGAAAGTCTTGTGGGGTCAGTCTTAACTTTCAAGCCTGTTAATGAAAGACTCTGATATATCAGACTCAAAGGACAACTACATAACTATTTACTAATTGCTGCCCATGCAACGACAGAGGAAAAGGGAGAGAATATAAAATAACTTTTATGAGAAACTAGAGGAACTGATAAATAATCTACCCAAACAGGACATGCATATTATCTTGGGACATTTCAATGCAAAGATCGGGAAGGAACTTGAAGCGTCCCACAACCTACTAATAAAATCAACAATGTTCGAACACAAGAAAATACACAAACAAACATGGGACTCCAACGACGGCGTCACAAGAAATCAGATCGATCATGTAACACAGACAGAAGACTATAAGAACATAGACTCAGCTTGAAAAATATCAAATTAGCTCTCACAAGCGTCACATAGATGAAATACTAGGACACAAAAAGAAAACAACAAAAAAAAAATGATTCGTTGATAATTGCCCGAACTCCATAACAGCAAGAAATATTGCTGGAAGGAACATGCTACAAAATCCCTCACGCAACAAGAATGAAATGTATAGACAAAGAAGAACAGAGACAAGAAAACTAATAAAAAGGAAGAAAAGGGAGTATCAGGAACAAATAATCAGAGATATAGAAGAAAAAAGAAAGAACAAACAAGCGAGACAGTTCTTCAAAGGAGTTTTGGATATCAAGACCGGGTACCAAGCAAGAACAGAAAACTTCCTTCAAGAAGACAGCGAGCAGCTTATTACTGATGACAAGAAAATACTTAAAACCTAGAAGGAATACTTCTATCAACTATTGAACGACCAATCAATCAGAAATACATCAAATATAGAGGTACATACAGCTGAAATAGAAGACCAATACCCGACATACAAAAAAGTAATACAGGCAATTAAAACACTTAAAAATAATAAGACACGTATAAGAAGCGTTGTACAGTTTTATATACAAGCTAATTCAAGACATTTGGCGAGAAGAAACAATGTCAGATGAATGGAAAGAAGGGGTTATAGTACCAATACACAAAAAAAGGAAACAAAAAGCAATGTATTAACTACAGGGAAGTAACACTTCTAAACACTACCTACAAAATCCTTGCAAACATCCTGTTAGAAAGAACCAAAGCATACACAGAAGAAATCGTTGGAGATTATCAACGCGGATTTAGACCGGGCCGCTCTACTATTGACCAGATATTCGCAATCAAACAGATAATGGAAAAATGCTGGGAGTTCTGCTAATGATCGTGAGCTTCATCAGGTTGATACGGATGTGTATGGAACGGTTACGATGCAAAGTGACAGTTGGACAACCATACTCGGAGACATTTGAAATAAACAATGGATTAAAACAGAGAGATGTACTTTCATTACAACTCTTCAACTTAGCTCTGGAGCACATAATCAGAAGTGCAAGAATCGAAAAACCGAATACAGTATTTCATCGAGAAGGACCAAACTTACTACTGGCATTTGCTGACGATATCGATCTAATAGGAAACACACGATTAAGGATAAAGGAGACTTTCGTGATGTTCGAGAAGAAAGCAGAGAAGATCGAGATCCAAATCTACTAAAACAAGACGAAATATATGTATATGAGCCGCAATAACCAAAGCAGAGACAGAATCGGTCAGAACATCACCATCGATGACTTTAACTTTGAGGACGTTAGAGAATTCTCTAAGTATCTTATAACAACAATGCCTGAAGACAATAATTAATCACAAGAAATAAATAACAGGATTCAGGCCGACAACAGATGTCTTTTTGCCCTCCAAAACCTTATAAAATCAAAACAACTAACAAGACGTACTAAGATATAGGTCTATAAATCAATCATACGACCCGTTATAATGTATGGAAGCGAAACGTGGACGATAACAAAAGCAAACGAAGAGAGACTATATGTTTGGAAAAGAAAAATCATAAGGAAGGTCTTTGGTCCTGTGCTGGATGAAGCATTAGGACAATATAGGATAAGAACTAACAAAGAGCTCGACAAACTTTACTCAGACGCCAACACTATAAAAGAAATAAAGTCCAAAAGCCTCCAATGGGCAGGACACCTCAGAAGACATTCTGATGAACAAACAGTAAGACTGGTGTGGGAGGAAGTCCCAACTGGAAGAAGACCACGCGGATGCCCTAGTCTCCGGTGGCAAGATAATATAGCAGGAGACCTAAGCACTATGGGCGTGGAGAACTGGATGGAGATTGCTTAACACAGAAAACAGTGGAGGCATGTTATCAAGTCGGCTGAAATCCATGAAGGGTTGTAACACCACGGAGTAAGTAAGTAAAATAGTGTATAAGGGTGCTGGAGGTGTATTAACTTGAGCCGGTGGAGGTGGTTGTGGCTGACGGTTGAATTAATTAGCAGAATTGTTAGGGAAGGGTTGTCGTTGCTTTTGATGATACTAAGACATATCTACCGATATTGGGTTTGGCTGTTGTAGATGTATGTAGGCTATTTGCATATTTGGCATCGAATATGATTGTTGGTCAAATGGATTAGTCTGCTGGTAGAGATTTAATCCGGGTCCAATTCAGCAATGTAAAACAAATTATAACATTAAATCTTGGTAGGAAATATGACACTTACAGTAGAAAAAAGGGTTTAAAAAATTCATAAACACCAAACACTATTTCATCTTTAATATATAATCTTTACGACATTTAATTGCAAATATACTTAACTCACCTCAACTAAAAATAAGATACAAATACGTTGCATTTAATTTATTCAAATAATAAAACTAATCTTGACACTTTGTTTCGCAGATAACTCCTAGTTCATTGTCACAATTTTCGTCGTTCCACCATCCATTTTGATAATGTCTATAATAGAGCGAAATGCATCTTTCTTTTTTGCCCTTATTGTTTGGTTCTCCATCGCCCCAGTTGAAAACTTTAATTGGCCATCCTGTTGTAAGCCAAATCCAGTCATCGTCGTTTGCTATTCTGCTTCCCGAAGACCAGAACTCTGCTTGTCCGGCAACTAAAAAATGACAATATTGTATAATTATTATAATAGCAGCAAAACAATATATATAGCTAGCGTAAGACAATTTTATTGAGTGTGGTAAACTTGGTATATACTTCTTCATGATCAGATAGTCCTTCATTATTAATTGTAGAGCGTACATCAAGGGATGAGAAATCTGAGACAATTTAATCAACTATGGTCGATGTTGTTTTAGTAATTCTCGTATAAGAATTACCGTACATTATGAAACCATGATTCGAACATATTGACCAAGGATACTTGGGTAGCGCAAGCAACACAGTAATTAATATTCAAGCATCACCGCATAGAATCTTTCTGCTTTTATTGGGCAGGTCGTCTAACAAATTTAACTGGTTCTAAACAAATAGTTCCGTGAAAGAATCAGGTAATCTATAAATGCATAAAATGTTTAGATTAACATTCTTGTTATAAACCAATGAAAACTCAAAAAAGGGTTCATTTTTTGAGTCAACAAAGAAAGCGATATTTTGTTATAGGAGAGAAATAATTATTAATAGAAAGAATTAGGGTGCCACCATAACTTGTTCTTATTCCACGTTACATCAATAATATACATGATGATTAGTATTAAAAGAGATACCAAAAAAAATACAGGGTCTTTCCTGACACTTAACTTATCAAAGGTATATTTTTTTAATGGAATGCCCTGTATATTAGTTTAAATATAAAATCTACATAGCTCCTCGTTACAAGAATACATAGTTGTTTGGTGTAAACAAAGTATTTACAAAGTATAACCAGATTTCAAAGAAAATTTGTAAAGTTCATCACCCTGTATAATTGAAAAGGGATACAAAGTAACGACCTGTTGTTACCACAGTTTTACAAAAATAAGGTAGAATGTTTTTACTTACGAAATTGATCGACTTGATTATAAAGCGCATCATTCTCTTCTTGCGTTCCCAGACTTACCAATTGCATATTATTGTGGTAACAGTATTGAACGGCAGTCCAGAAATTGGCCTAAAAAGGTTAAATACTGTTTTTTATCTCTACCTCTAGATACTTTTTTAAAGTTGAGAACAGAACATATCTGTGGCGAGAAACCAAATTTTTTTAGGTTGATGTATGGCAATATAATTCGGGATATGCGTTTAAATACTAAAAAATAGAGTATCTACAAATATAATTACGTAGCCAATCTTGTAAACCTTAAACCAATTGACAGACGATTTATAAAAAAATTGTTGGTAAACCAAAAATATATATTGCTCATTAGGCCTAAACACATCGTGATGTTCACAGAGGATGTAAACTTGATGGGCCGAACCGTAATAGACATCACACAACTTGAAAGTGAGAGAGAAAAAGGATAATGAATGCTAATGAAACATTTTTTTTTGTCGCTGGTGTTTAAATCCAAAGACATCGATCATCATCATCATCCAGCCTCAAGAGTACACTGTTAAACATAGGCCTCTTCCTCATGTTTCCAACCCCGTCTATCTTGCACCGCTCTTATCCAGTTTTTATTGAGTCTTCTTAAATCGTCAGACCATCTTGTAGGTGGTCGACCGCCGCTTCTCTTGTCTTCCCTTGGCCTCCATTCCAATAACCTCTTTGTCCATCACCCATATGTCACTCTGGCTATGTGTCCTACCCATCTCCATTTTAGTCTGGCAATACTCACCAACATGCTAGGCAAGCACGGAGTTTAAATGCCAAAAATCCGACCACTGTAAACCAACATCGATAGAAAAGTAAAATTCAAAATATATAAAACCGATAACATTATATGGCGCATAAACCAATAGCAACAGATGGATCATTACAGAAAAAATAATAAACTGACTTTTATTATTTTGTCTTATTTTAATACTTGTGACAGACCAAATTAACGTTATATGCCTCGTTATACACAACTACAGTATTTGTGTATCGTGGTTATTCTTCCACATCATCAATACATCTCATCTGTGGTCGCCCCTTACTTCTTTTGCCCTCTGATTTTGAAAATGTTAATCTCTTCGCGTATTCGTGATCTGACATCCTAGCAATATGTCCAGCCCATCTAAGTCGCTGCACTTTAACGAATTTTACAATATCTGGATCGGTGAATAACTGATATAGTTCAAAGTGTATCTTCGACGCCATAGCCCATTTTCATTTACGTCCCCAAAAATCTTTCTTAGAATTTTTCTCTTAAAAATATCAAGAATTGTCTAATTGCCTTTTCTAAGGCAATATTAAAGAGGAGACATGCCAGCGCGTCACCCTGTCTTGGACCATCATCAATGTCAAAGAATGTAGAGTTTTCTCCTTCAATTCTAAAGCATGATTACGTTTTGTATTGTTACTTGATTCAACTTAACCATTGATTATAAACCACCCACTAGATAGCTCACCTCGTGGTAAACGAAAGCCGTATCAACAACTAGATGGCGTTACTCGAAAACCGTATCGAGATTCTCATTCTGTCTCTGACTTGCGAGGAGGTACGAGTAGCGAACTTACCCTATAGGTGTATTATCTGTGCCAAGTCGCACATGTATTTCAATACCGCTATAACTGCAAATTTATAAATTTAATAGGAGAGGCAAATGAAAATATGAATGACGGGATGTTTTCTCTACAGAATAGATATTTTAAGAGAAGTAACTGAATATTAGAATATTAGTAATTCGTTAGCATACGAATGGATATGTTTTTTCAAAAACAAGAAATATTTAACCGTTATAAATATTTGTAAGATATGGCACTAAAACATTATTATCAGAAAAACGATGAGTAGAAAGGTCAATAGTTTTATAGGTCAAAGTTAGTTTTGTAAAAAAACTTTTGTAGGAAAACACTTTTCTACTTTAAGAATTTGTATATTATTCCATACTACCTTCTCGTTATCCGAATTTTTGGTGAATTTTTGACCAAACATTTTTGAAAGATCCTTAAAGTCAAAAAATTCTTCAGTGTCCATTTCATTCACTTTATAGGGCCTTTTTTTTTTGGCACCACTTAAACCTCTTTTTTTTTCTACCTATATCTCTTGTTTGTTAAACAATTTTCATTCTTCTCAAGAGTAATATACCTTCATTTTTATAGCACTTTTATATAAATATGAACGTGGTTTTTAATTCTTCTCGGCTTTTAATAATAAAATGTTTCGATATTGTCAATAATGAAAGTACTTCTTGAGAGCAAGAAATAATAAATTTTTTTTTCCTAAAATTTTAATTTTACAATCTTTGTCGAAATTCCCCTGATGGTGCTGTAGAAAGCGAAAGTACTTGGGAAAGATTTGATTATTAAATTTGTGCTCGATATTTGCCTTGAAATATTTTAGTTTGCATCAATTCTGGAAATTAATTTGTTTGAAAAGTTACAAAAAAGTAATTTACGTGAGATGTAATTTATCACTGCTAATTTTATTATGTATTTTATGTTTTGTTATTTTTTTTGTATTGTATTGATAAATAAATAATTTTTAGAAAACCTTTACTGTTTTCATTAATCAATTTTTAGCTTTTTTTCTTAAGTAAAATCGGAATTTTATAATATAGATTACAAGCACGTTAAAATTATTTGTGAAAATGCTGAATGCCATCCTTATATTGTCGTCTATTACACTAGACGACAATATATTGTCGTCTATTAATGGCCGGACCAGGCAACTCAAATTTATTTTTCAATCTTGGCAAATATTTCAATTAATGTCGATAGCATACAGTCAGGTAGTACTTAGGCGTGAGGGGCAAAGAGCTGTAAGTGGGCGGAGTTTAACACTGAATTCGTTTTACTTTAGAGTGAGGTATCTAGGTGGTGGTTTATAAACAATGACTTACCTAATTTAGGTGGGATTTCAAAGTCTACTATTACATTATATAAACAATGACTTAACTAATTTAGGTGGGATTTCAAAGTCTACTATTGCATTATATAATGCAGTTCTTTTCACACTGTCATAGGCTACTCTGAAGTCGACGAAGAGATGGTGTGTATCTATGTTATATTTTATTCACTTTTCTAGAATCTGCCTATGTGCTTGAGTTTGGTGTGTAGTGGACTTTCCAGCAGTAAATCCGCATTGATATTGACCTTAGACCATAAAAACTGATATTCCGTTTTTATGGTCCAAGATATTGACCAACAATATCCTTTGTAAAATGTTTAAGTCTTTCAAACAAGACATTGCCTCAGATTTTATGAGCAGATGCTTAAAAAGTAATGCCTCTATAGCTCTTACACTCCAGTTGATTACCCTTTTTATGCAACGGACATATTATTCCCTTTAGCCATCCTTCTAGCACCAATTCATTCTGCCATATAAGTACTATTACTTTATGGATTGCTGCAAAAAATTGACCACCACTTTTGTTTATACATTTTCCCACAGATTTCACCGATTTTTAGACTTTATTTTCTTTTCCTAGAGTTTTAGTATGGCATTTGACACTTCTTATCGTGTTGGATCTTCACTGTATAGTTGGCTTTGTAGATTTTGTTGATTGTCTATGTTGTAACCTGCTTCAATATCGTTTATATTTATATGTTAGTTGAAATGTTGTGCCTATCTGTTAAGAACTGAGTTTTTATCATGTAGAATTTCAACGTTAGTGTCTACAAATTTTTAATCGTGGGTTAAATTCTCGACGGCTATTATTTAAGGATTTGTAATATTTCCTTGTTTCAGTTTTATCGATAATTTTATATCGATTTTTATATAAACTTTGTATCTCATTAGGAGTGTTATGTTTGTATTCCCTCTTCGTACGTAGATGGATACGAATTTGGTATGATGTTGAAAGTTTCTAGATGAGTTTTTTCTAATTAGGAGCCTCTCTTAGATCTTATCTAGAGTTTTTAGTAGAGAGATAGGTGTGTACGATTCAGTGCTGGTTGGGGTTTGCCCTGGTTTAGGAATCATTATTGTGCTGGCTACTTTCGAAGTGATAGGGAAGTATTCTAGCTGTAGGCAGGCAATTATAGTTTCGGCAAGCAGCGGGAATATGGCTTCTGCAAGTTCTTTAAGATATCTCCCGTGCCATCTGAGCCAGAGGCTCTATTTTCGACTAATCTGCACAGTCTTCTGGCGGTATATGGGTTGATTAAGACCACTATCTCGTGGTAGTTGTGTTCTAATCTTGTCAGATTTTGTATGTTTTGCTCGGTTTCTATACGAAATCGTTATATCATGTTGGAGTTTTCAGTGGTAATGAATGTGATTTGAAGTGTATCTTTGAAGATTTTAGCCTTGTCTAGTAAATTGGTCATTATTTGATTGTTATATTTGGAAAATGAATCATGTTGGGTTTTTGTTTGTTTGGGATTTAGACTTTTTTCAAAATTTGCCTTCGTCTCTATAGTTCAGTTTAGCCATAACTGTCTTCTTTGTTGTTGTTCTATCAGGTTAACCTCTAGTCTGATTGCTGTAAGTCGTCGGTTATATTCTGTTTTGATGAGAGGGTCTCAAAAAATTTTATATTCTCTTAGAAGTCAACGCTTGGTTTGAATTTTAGCAAGGATTGTTTGTGGTAGAATTGAAGTATATTTTTTATATTTTGTTAAGGGAATTGCTAGATTTAAAGCTTTTTGTAGAAAACTCTTAATTTTTACGATAACTATGTCATCGTTTGTCGAGGAGATATTACCTAACTCTGGGAGGTTATGAATTATGTAGTCTTAAAATAGTTGTCAATTAAAGAATAAGATGATTTGTTTGGGGGTCCATAGGTATGTTTTGACTAGGAGTGGGAGGTGGTCTGACGATATTGAGTCACCTATGGTAACAGCTATCATTGAATTTGTCCATGATGCTTACATAGCTTCTATATTGGCAATTCTGTCAATATGTAGATATAGAAGAAGATCTGAGAGGTGTCTGCTTCTAGAATTACTAGTTAAGTCACCTAATTGAGTGTGTCTGGAGCTGAAGTTGTCAATTAGAATAGCTCTGGTAAGTGTGGAAAAATACTCAATCAGAGGTTTATAGAGACGGTGATTTTGTTGTCTATAATAAGCAATTACTCTGGTGGTGGTATTCCTGTGAAGTATGTATACTGCGAGAGTCGATGTTTGAAAACTGGATATAGGGAGGAAGCGTATAAGGTGTAGTATAAATGTCTTTGTACATGAGGATGAAAAAGACATTCCTACTACACCTTATACGCTCCCTCCCCATATCCAATTTCTAAACATCACCTATCTCACAGATGCAAAGATACTGAGAAAGATATTGGAATTTATCTGCGGCAATATGCGGCTATATGGAGAATAAGGTTCAACTACAAGTTATATTAATGTTACAAACAACCCTCTATAGTAAATTATGTAAAAATATAACCATTGTGCTGGGCAGATCACCCTATAAGAACCGATAATAACAGTACACCTAGTAGAACGCTTAGTGGAACTATGGTGGGATGTCGTCCAGTAGGAAGACCAAGGAGGATGGAATAGATGAAGTGAGAACCGATGCTAAAGAGAAATTAAGGGTGGATAACTAAAGAAGAGCAATGAAGAAAAGGGATGCTTGAAGGTGAATGCTGAGAGAGGTCAGAGACCAACTTGGACTACAGTGCCATCGGAGAATACCTTACGTAGCAGGAAAATACAGTTAAAGTTACATTTAAAGTTCTACGATGAAAACATTTTTTAAAGCAAGTAAAAAACCTTTTCTTACCTTAACATTTTCTTCGATAAAATACTCCTTTCCTTGCAACGTAAACCAATGTCTTCCAGTTTCTAAAAAAACTTTATATTAATCATACACCAAAAAGCAAATTTCATGTTCTTACCATTTCTAAGGATATCACTAACAGCTTGTGTACTCACAGCCAAAACTAATATCAAAAATACTAGCTTCATGTTTTTTTGTATGCTTCAAATCAATAAAAAGACAATATTTTTGGGCGAAAAATGATAATTTTTTAAATATTTGATAAGATACTTGTGAAATATATCAAGATTTTTAGAGTTGTTTGATTGTTTATTATAATTTATGTTTTTGATATAATCGTTAAGTATAACATGTGATAGTCAAAACGATTGTTTTGTTTACATAACATGTATTGTAGAACACAATTGATAACATAAATTAAAGAGTACTACACAATAGATTGTACATGTTAATGACAAAAAAAATTAAGAAATCAATACCGAATACACAACACTTAATGACTAATTTAAAAAATTTAAAAAGCCAAGTCAAAGCAAAACATAAAATTATTAAGAACCTTATGTTTAAGAGAAATGTTCAGAAATCTCCAGAGAAACAATGTATTTCCGTGAATTTGACCCGGCCAGGTCTCTGACAATCTTTTTTGAGTTTTTTGGACCTCGATAATCCAAACTTAATGTCGAAAATGGACCATTTTATGAATTTTTGTCGAATTTTGAGGTAATAAACACGTTTAAAGCTTTAAAATGACGATGAAAGGTAATTTACTAAAGTTATATAATAATATACAATAAATGTTAATAACTATAAGGAAAAATGAAGTTACAAGCTTAATATTGCTTGGAAAGTTTAATATTTCAGGTGATTCATCAATTAGTTTCGTTGGTTATTCAGTTTACTTATCCCAAACAACCTTTTCTCCGAAAACAAAGTCAAAAAAAAAAATTAAATTCTAATGATTCTCCAAGTAGTGCAACCAACAACAAAGTTTTATTAAAATAATTTTAAAAAGTTATAAAAAACCGTTTTCCACATTGAAAAACTTAATTGTAAATATTCCAATTTTTTTGCTATAAACATTTAAAATAACTGAAGCTATTTTCCTGTGGCATCTTAAAGTAATTACTATTTTAATGAGAAGAAGTCACAATTTCTTTATATTTTGGAGACTTGTTGTTTCTAAGGAAACCGTCTACGACTGCTACGAAAGAACTCCATGCTTCAGATTCATCCTGGGTCATTATATTCTGGAACAATCTGCCTAATTTAAAGTTTTGAATATGAGGGCCTACAATTATTCTTTCTTTAGGTTTAGCTTCACAAAGTGCAGGAAATTTGTCGCACAGATATTAAAAGCAGTTACGTTGTTTGTTTTTTCAAAGCTTTGACAAACTGCTTCATCAATCCCAACTTTATGTGAAGAGGAGGCAAAAGAACTAACTTTGGGTCAACTAGTGTATCACGTAGCATATTTTTTGCCCCGGTATAAGTCTTTCTCTGAGTGACCACTCTTTCTTAACGTAATGTAACTCGCACAAAAAACATGGATACTCTGTAAATCCAGACTGCTGACCCAAAAGCATGGATATTATTTTGAGATCTCCACAGAGTTGCCAACAATATTTGCTATTCTTCTTCTTCTTTTGGCATCATAACCCTGGATGAGTCTTTGCCCGTCTGGCTATGCCCTTTCATTCAGATCTCTCTTGTGCCCTTCTTCTCCATTGTCTTATGTTCATTGTTTTCAGGTCGTCTTCCACGTCATCCAACCATCTCGTTCTGGGCCGTCCTTTTTTTCGCCTTCCTATGGGCTTTCATTGTAACATTTTCTTTATTGTTTTTGCATCGCTTTGTCTCTGCACATGCCAGAGCCATAACAGTCTTTGACTTTTCACAAATCTTACAATGTCATAACCTTAATTTAACTCATTAACCTTGTCGTTTCTCCTGATTCTCCATGTGCCATCTTCCTCTTGTACCGGGCCATATACTTTCCACAGTATTTTTCTCTCGAATATCCTGAGTTGGGCTTCATCTTTTTTCGTCATTACCCAAGTTTTACATCCATAGGTTACTACGGGTCTAATCAGTGTTCTGTGTTCTAATCAATATTTGCTATACTTTATTTTATTTAGCAACAGCTCAAGATTCTTATACGTTTCTTTGAGATGCACGGAGTGAGCAACATGCACTGAGGCATAAGTATTATTATTGTGCAACAAGGCACCATTCAGATTTCTCTTAGAAGAATCAATAAATAACCCCCATGATGTGGAATCGTAATTGTCAGCTCTCAGTTTCATGACTACTTCAGGAATATTATGACAATACATCAGTGAGCCCTGTTAAGAAAAATATTCCGCGAACACTTTTTCACGATGCCTATACCATAAAAAATGTTGTACCTGGAGCCAATAGATCTTTATCTTTCAGTCGTGATTCTAAGATTTGTGCAGCATCCTTCGATAGGCCCAAGCCTCTCACCAAGTCATTTAGTTCAGCTTAAATAAACTTTTGAGGTTGGTCTATTTCAGGATTGAATTGGTCTTCATCGGTTTTTTTGTCTGAACTGTCATCACTAATGATTGCTGTTGGATGGTGTGAAGAAACGGTGGAGGAATAGGTATTCCTGGTCCATGAGATACAGGTCGTTTAGCAAAAGGTAAATCAGGATATTGAATTTTGTGTTTATTTTTTGAATTGATTGAAATCGCAGGAGCAAAGTAGCAGTCATCTCCCTGATTTTTTGTTTCCCTCCATACCATAGAAATGCTGAAGGGTAAACAGTTACGTGTACCTTTTGTCCATTTTCTTAGTAGTTTGACACACTGAAAACACACTTTATGTGAAGCTCAAGGTTTGCCCTGGTCACCAAGCTTTCCACCGAATTAAGCGTAATAGGATTTCTTTATAAAGTCTGTTATGTTTCGTTGATGCTTTCCTATTGTTAAATCCCCACACACGTATCAAAATATATCAGGACTGTTCTTACACTTTACTGATCACATTATGGCGCGATAACCATTCATAAAACAAAATACAACTTGATGCTACAAAAAACTGACGCTAACTAACTCTTTTTACGCAATACACAAGAGTGTTGCATTCACATGAAATTTTTAACATAATGTATTAAACTATTTCCTTTCGAAATGTAAGTATTTTAAAGAAATAATTTTAATGCAATTGACGAAATATCAATAAGGTACTTGTTTGCTCTAGTATATAATATCTCACAAGGTTTTTTCAATTTTGTGAAAAATTTTGACGTGATGTGTTTAAACCGAATTCATATTCAGAATCAGCGTACCCGTATTAGCTAGAGACACATGTCAAACTCAAAACACCAAAAATCATGTCGGCCTGTGATTTCATCGGGCATTAATTTTTTATAATATTTTAAATTCTATAGGAATATCTTATTAATTTTGTATTCTACAGTCGCCAATAATACCCGCTGCAATAATGCTGCTATATATTCTAAATAAAAAAATAGCTACAGAACAATACGGTTAGTTGTTTTTAACCTACTATGTATTTTCACTAAAGGAACATAAAACATTGACAACGAGAAACTGTTTAAAAAATTTCTCAGTGTGTCGTGTTTTCTTCAGCTCACATCTGATCGAAACAAGATCTTCGTCGAGTCACACCAACATTATCTTGAAAAGTGATCGAAAAACGAACATTTTGAAAACCATTTCTAGAATTCTTCGGGTATATGCGACATTCTTTCTTAGCGTCCAAAACAAACCAATCGGACGTTTAATTAGGTAGATCATTGTTGACGATCTCTCTCGCGAAGACCGTTAGTGTCGGTTTAATTCTCTTATTATACGCTTAACCTGAGAAACCCTAACTCATAGGTGTAGATAAATGTTTTGTAAACATAAGATTATACAAATAGTTGCATATAAAACTAAAAGTAATAAAAGAGATAAGAGAAAATACGTTGATTGCACAGTAAAAATATTTTGCATTCATAAACGACGTGTCAAATAAAATAATACTTAAATCGCTATTTTTAAAATAAAAGTTGGCAAAACTACAAAAGAATAGTAAGCGAAACTGTAGGTGCGATAACAACAATAAAAACAAAACAATAACTAGAGAAATGTGTTCTAGACCTAGAAAAAACTATACAAAATGCTATCGAGGTCAGCACCACAGAAAAAGAAACACCAACAATTACGGAAAGATTCAGAGACATCAACAACGAGCTGAAAGAACTAATAAAGGAAAAAAATAGGAAAAGAAAAAAGGCCAACAGAACAAAAAAACAAGAGGGCAAATGCTAATGAGCTAAATATGGAAGTCAAAAAACAATTAGAAGCACATTGAAATGAATATGGGGACAACTATATTCAGTAACTATATCCTATCCTATTGAACAATACAAGAGAATGATTATGAATAAAATGTGTATACAGAGTGACCCAAAACACTGGAAACAGCCGATTATCTCGTAAATTGCTAGTTATAATTGTACAAAATTTAAGGTACACCTATTTTGGGATACGGAGATTCCATATTTAATATTTGCAATGTTGCCAGATTTGCTGTTTCTCTTATATTATTAGTAACTTTGGTTTTTCAAATTCATCACCCTGTATATTCAGTCATTATTAGAATCTCCTATTCAATACGAATTCAATTATATGAAATAAATATAAGACTTTATGTAATTTGGAAGATCTTAAACACATAAAACATAAAGTCTGGCAACGCCTAATTGTCTCAATAAATTTTTTAATACCAACTATTTTTAATTACATTAAAATGTAACAATTGATAGATTACAACATTTTTTAACATAATATTTACTTTATCAAGTGTTCAAAATGTGCTCCATGTGAGTTGACATTAACCTAATCGATGGTAGAATGCGTCTACCATATCTTTCCATGATTGTCTAAAATTTATTCGAGATTCATCGATTTTTCGTTGTCTTAGTTATGTAAGACTTGCTGGTTTAGTTTTGTAAACTGAATTTTCCAAGTATCCCCAATAAAAATAATTTTTAGGATTGAAATCAGGTGAACGTGGAGGCCATTCAATTCTACCTCGTCTACCAATCCATCGTCCGGGAAATACCTCTTCTAAATAACGCCGAACGTTTACACCAAATTTTGTAAAATTATGACAAGCATTTTACAATTTACGAATTAAGGATTACGAATTCCGAATTTACTAGATAGATACTGATCAATTAGACCGAAAAGAGTTATGAATGACAACAAAACTAAATATCATGCAACGTTTTGTTGAAGATCCACA